TATCTCTGAGGCCGCATGGGGCTATACGCTGCATACCAAACGGGCACGCAGCACACACTGGAGAGATATGGAAAAGAAAGGCGTCAGTGAGTGGGAGGGAGGGAAACCCCGCACAACACTATGGAGATCAGTCATTACTCAATGCAGCAGCACAGACGAGCTTTCTTACAGCAGCTCAGGACATCAGCAGAGTTAATCTGGATATAATCATGCATATGATCTCATACATTTTTAAAATAAAACTTTAAAGGCACACTGTACTGTACGTATATATCCATAACCAGTAGGCTAACGGGGGGGATGCCACAATGGTGGCACCATAGTGATGAGAAGATCAGATCTTTTCAGTAACCCACTACTTAATAGTATAGAGAATATTACAGACTGACAGAAGAGCGGGACTGAGAGAAAAAAGCATAATTACAAATCAAAGCACGATGGATTTGTCAATACACAGCACAATTCTGATATTTCCGAGCCGTGGACAGGACTCGGGGGGCAATCTAACTAATGTCAGTCAGGTAAAGGATCAATGTGAGATGGTTACGATGCATACAGTTGGTCTGGGCTGTTAAACCAGCGCCATAAAGGCAAGAAAAGCTGCACCAGTTAAAATAGAAACCTTTTTTGATAAAACATCGTAATTAAATAATTCTCAATAATTTATTGGTTATATCTGGGTCTGGACCCAGTCCGCCTAATAGTGAGCTTGGTAATAGGGGACAGAGCGGGGGATGATGGCAGACTACATATAAGTATATAAGTATATATATAGCTTCTACTTGATATAGTGTTCCTGTTGTAGCTGTTTCTCTATGACAAAGTGCACTTACTATTCCTGGTTTTCAGCTCAGTTTTGTTGTAACTGCAAATTTTTCATGCTGTTTTCATGGAGAGTGTACATTTCTATTGTATAATGAAAGTAAAACAGAAAACAAAAACTCAGTTTTGACCAGATATGTACAGCATTTTGGTTCTGTAGAGCAGTCTGGCACCATGAGCTGCAGCCCGTCACTGAAATGCCTGCTATAATAATAATGCTGATATGTGTGAATGTATGTGCCTGCACACACACACACTCACA